TCCAGGCAGCAGGTGGACCCGACCGAGTTCGGCATGGCGTGGCCCCCACGGGCGCTGCGGGGAGGGCGAACCGAAGGTGGAGCGGTCCAGCGCGGACCGCGGGAACTCGCGCACGCGCGCGTGCGACGGCCAGCGGCGATGCTCGCACCCGAGGCACGCGACCATGGCGGACAGGAGCGGCCATGGTGACTACGATCGGAGCAGCAGGCCCAACGCGGACCCGAGGAGCGTGGATGCGCTCGCTCACGGGGATGGGCCAGCATCCGTGGGGCGCTGCGGCTCGGCTAGTTGCGGGCGTCGTCAAGGTGCTTGGGCACGGAGGAGCCGCACCAAAAGGAGCCGTGGATGTCGCGCAGGCCAAGGGAGAAAGGACAACGGCGGCTCTACGGGGAGGAAAAGGAGAGGGGCTGTTGTGTGGAAGAGCAACGCTGTGGTTCTCGCTGTGGCGGAGAGGAAAAGGAGGGGCGTGGGGAGTAGGCCAGCCGACACGGAGGTGACCCGGCCTGACCTGCCTTGGCACGTCGGGACTTGAGGTTTTGGCTCGTCAGACACGGCAGACAGAGACACTGATCGAAAGAAAGACAGCAAGCCAGAGATGGAGAGGAACAGTGGGAAGGAAACAGCAGCGACCAGCAGGCAGACAAGCGAAGAAAAGACAGCGAGGAGCAGTCGGTCAACTGTACAGTGTTGTGCAGAAAGGACAAACACAGTCAGGGGCAGCAGAGGCACATGGGCCGGGCTGACATTATGACCGCGAACAGTGCAGCATGTTCAATCATCAAAGGAGCTCGTTTCAGCACTTGATTTAGAGTCATCGTCGTAACTTATATGTACCTATCTCTCTCTCTCTCTCTCTATATATATATATATATATATATATATATATCTTTAACGGTTTACTAATTTAGATAATTTACAACGTCTACACATAGAAAAATTTCAGCAAAGCTCGAATTTAAATTGATTCAAAAGCTATATATATATCGTTCTATTTATTAATGGATTTTATTTTATTTATAAAAGTTGCTTTTCCTGCTTAATCTAATAGAACGAACTGTTTGCTATCGATTGGCCAGAATTGTCGTTCAACATTTCTAAATATTTCTACGCACTGCGTAATTTAATTCGAGCGTTTATTTGAGTTCACGAACTAAGTCACGTAGGATTCGCTTATCGCTTCACGTATGTTTTAAATAAAAAATTCGAGAAACTCGTTTCGAAAGTTTTACTTAGGCCTAAATCAACGTGCTAAATAAGATCGTAACACCGGGGTGTTACACCGGTCGATTCCGGCCATCAGGGTGGGAGCCGACAGCGTGCGAGCACCATCAGCGCCGGCTGCGCTTGTGGGTGCCCCTTGGCTCGGCTGGAGACGACCTGAGGCGCTCCGGCACCTGCGCCTAGCCGTCATCGCCAGGGGGGGCGGCGTCGGCCGGGGAGACACTGCACGAATTGAGAGAGAAGACGACATGGTTGGTTTGGGTGAAGGAGGAAGCAACGTTGGCGGCGCGAGGTTTTGCTGCTGCCAGCGAACACGAAAGAGATCTGTTGATGGAGAGGGCAAGACGGGACGAAGAGATAAAGAGACGAGCGAGGTGGAGAGAAAACCGTGTCCGAACTGTCGCGAGCGAACGGACGCCTCCGAGTGTTTGGGGACAGAAAATTACCCGCGGTCTGCCGAACTTCACGTCCGCTTCGACCGTCCTGATCTGCTGTTTGCGGTGGCAAGCGGCTGGCTGCTTCTTTCTTGCTTGCCGGCTGTGGCCATTATGGACGGATTATTATGTTTTCAAAAAAAAATTATGGACGGATTATTGAATGGATTACCAGTTGCAAGAAAGGATGTGACCGACGATGGGATGATATCTTGCATGGCAGGTGATCAATGGAGCAACCAATCGAAGGATCGGAGCAGGCTAGCTACTGCGTGGTGGCTGGAAGACTCTGGCCAGGACGGAGACGGGTAAAGCATGTGAATGAAGGAAAAAGAATCGGAGGAACTTTTTTGCAAAATACAAACATAAATAAAGGGATATGGATTTTTGGTGGATTACTTAAAAAGTTTAGCAACCTAAAAATACACTTTAAGAGTTGATGAACTTAGATAACACCTCTTTATAAAAGTTAATGAGTCTCTTGGTGCATTTCATAATACTTAAAATAGAAGACCAAGATTATGAAGCAGCAGTCAAAAGGAAGCATAAGGAAAATATGTTTCTTTGATAATTCTAGCATCCATCGTAGACAGTCTCTAAACAGAGCTGGGGCGTGTATGGTAGAGCTCCATCTGATTCTCATTCTTTATGAAAGCTGATTTTTTAAGAGAAGTGATTCTGTGGCTGGAAGTGATTATCTTTGTTTCTTTAGCATAAACTCTTGAAATCATGACGGAGAATCACTTCACAGAATTAGGAGAATTTTTCTAGCTCTCAGCCTTCTGATTTATTTCAGAGAATCACTTCACGAAATCAACATAAAATCATTTCTCTTTAAAAAAAAACTGTTTGGCAGAGCTTCTACTATATTCAGCAGAGAATCAGCTTTAGAAGCTCTGGGCCTCCATCAGCACACCTTTATTAACCTGTAAGTTTGATGGCCAATCGGCGACCCCCCTCGACCCGTAGTAATTTCTGCAACTGCAACTGTGCAGGCTACAGAAATGCCATCGCTGCTAGAAAATGAGCAAGCAAAGAATTGATGCGGCTGCAGGGCGGGTACAGCATACACCCCGGTTCGCTCGCTTCTGCACAAGAGCAGAGAAATGTGAGAGCCGTGTACTGTGCAGTGTATGATGGGCCCTCCTGCACCGCTCCGTGCCGTTGGTACTTCGCTAAGTCGCCGGCCTGTCTTAGCAGCTGGACCTGGATGTATATATGTCCAACGGGCCGGCACGACCCGATGGGGGTCGGGCCGACAAGGCACGACGTGCCCAGCGGGCCGTGCCGCCATGGGCTTCGTGCCTGGCTGATGGCCTAGGCACGGCCTGCTGGGCCGTTTTTCGTGCCGGGCCGGCCCGAGAAGCACGGCTAATCCAGCGTGCCGAGCCGGGCCAAGGCCCACTACACCAACAGAGAGAGAGAGAGGGGGGGAGGCCAGGCTGCCGTCGTTGCGAAGACCGTGGACGACGCGACCTCTTCGCAACTCGACTTGGCTGGATCCGCGGAGGATGAGCGATGAGGAGGCCGGATCCGCAGAGAACGAGACCGGATCCGCGCAAAGGAGGCATGGGGAGGAGCAGCAGCGCGTGGCGGTGAGGAGGTGGCCACCGTCGGCGGCAGTGCGGGGCGGTGAGGAGGCGGTAGCCACCGTCGGCGGCTCGCCGCTAGGGGCCGCGGAGGCGAGTCGGGAGAGTGCGGTGGCCGGCAGGGAGGCGAGTCGTGCGGGAGAGAGAGTGGGGCGGGGAGGCGACGTGGCGAGCGAGTCGCGACGCCGACTCGCGACCGCGACCGCTAGCGGTAGGGAGTGCGGCGGGGTGTTGGAGTGGAGGTGGGAGGTGGCGGCAGGAGGAGAGGAGCCCGCGGCGGCGCACCCCGCCGGCGAGTCGCAAAGAAGAGAGGGAGCGAGCGAGAGCGGGGAGGAGGCGAGGCGAGCGACTGGGCAAGAGAGAGCAGAGTGCGGCGGCGGGGGAGGGAGAGGATAGGCGATAGGGTTAAGAGAGGAGGGCTGGTCTACTGGGCTGTTGTTGGGCCTTTGGCCATTTTCCTCACCGGGCCTTTGGCCATTTTATGGGCCGGGCCGTGCCAGCCCGCGTGCCTGGGTAAGGCCCAGACACAGCCTGCTCCCTCGGGCTGTGCCAGTCTGGGCCCGCTAGCCATCGGGCCAGGTCATGTTTGGGCCGGGCAAAAAAAAAGGCCTCTTATCGGGCTGCATGCACGTCTATACCTGGATGTCGTCTCAGGCTGACCACTCTGCATCGGACTATCATCGGTCGATCGATCAGTGCCCAGAAGGTGGCGAAGCTTTAAACTCTTTCACCAACCAATCGCCGATGCTTCTCAAGTTCTCATTACTCAAGTCCTAGCAAGTACTATACTTGCTAACGTGCAGTGTTACTGCATAGTTCGAGTAGGCCTCGCGTGCACCTATGTCACTGTCAGTGTGTCGTCGTGGTTAGGATGCGTCCTACCAGCCGGCGACAATGCTGACCGCGCACGGCGATCGTCTTCTATTTCCCTCGGCCCTCGGGCCTCCTTTTAAACCCCTCTGTAAGGGCGAATCTAAAACACATGAATAAAAAAAAACGCAGGAATAAGGTACGATGAAAAGTGAAAAACTATAGGATTTCAAAACACAGAAACAAAAAATTTAGGCCTGTTTGGAACACAGAAATTTATAACACAGGAATCTTCTCCACCCAGCAGACGATAACTGTGCAGCTGCATCGGCCTTCCGCGAAGGATCGAAAAACCAGAGGCAGGAGCAGATGTTTTTTTTCCGTGAAATCATATTGTTGCTACAGTATTCCAGATGAAAGGATTCGCTCGTTTTCCTTTCTTCCAAATGATGTGACCATCTTCCTTTCCTCCATTTTGATTTCCTTCACTTTTCCTTTGAAAAAACCGTGTTCCAAACAGGCCTTAAGGGTGTGTTTAGTTCGCGAAATGAAAACTTTTGATGTCACATCGAATGCTTTGGGAATGTCGGAAGGGGTTTTCGGATACTAATAAAAAAAACTAATTACATAGCTCGCCTGAAAACTGCGAGACGAATTTATTAAGCCTAATTAATCCATCATTAGCGCATGTTAGTTACTGTAGCACTTATGGCTAATCATGGACTAATTAGTCTTAAAACATTCGTCTCGTGATTTCCAACCAAACTGTGCAATTAGTTTTTTTTGTCTATATTTAATACTCCATGCATGTGACACAAGATTCGATGTGATAGTTTGAGGATAATTTTTTTTAAATAAACCAGGCCTAAATCACACTGCCCTCTGGTCGGCGCCACACCCACACTGGCTACTGGAGGAGTCGCTGGCAAAGAAAGCCGGGGTGAGCATGGACGTGGAGCACAAGGATCACCTCCTCGCGTTCAGGCGCCACGCGGCGCTGTACCTCGTCCCGGCCTGCGCGATGCTGCTGCTGTGGCGCTTCAACAGGCGCACCGCGACGGCGGCGGCGGACGACGTTGGCCTCGTCGACTTCTCGTGCCTGAGGCCGCCCCGGCGGCTGCGGATCCCGATCCCGGGCCTCCTCGAGCACCTCCGCCTCGTCGGCTGCTTCGACGACGGCAGCGTGGAGTTCATGTCCCCGGTCATCGAGGCGTGCGGGATGGGCGAGGAGACCTACTTCCCGCCGTCGCTGCACTACATCCCGCCGTCGGCGACGAACGCCGACGCCGTGGCCGAGGCGCGCGGCATGTACCTCCCCACGCTCGACGCGCTCTTCGCCAGGACGGGCTTGCCGCCGTCGGCCGTGGGCGCGCTCGTCGTCAACTGCAGCGGGTTCTGCCCGGCCCCGTCGCTCGCGGCCCTGATCGCGGGGCACTACCGCATGCGCGCCGATGTCAGGACGTTCAGCCTCTCCGGCATGGGCTGCGCGGCGGGCGTCGTCGGCGTGGACGTCGCGCGGGGCGTGCTGAGCGCGCACGCCGCCGTCAGGTACGCCCTGGTCGTCAGCGCAGAGATCGTCACGGTCGGGTGGTACAGCGGCAGGGACCGCTGCAAGCTCCTCCTCAACTGCTTCTTCCGCACCGGGTGCGCTGCCGCGCTGCTGACGAGCACCGGCGGAGACGGAGGCTCCGCCGCCGTCTCGGTGCCAGCCATTGCAAGTACCGGCTCGTCACGCTGGCGCGCACGAACCGGACGGCCGACGACCGCAGCTACGCGTCCGCGGTGCGGAGGAGGACAGCGAGGGCATCACGGGGTTCTCCATCGGCCGCGGGCTCGGCGGCGTGGTGCGCGACCTCCTGCGCGCGGGCGCCCACCTCCTCGCGCTCGGCCCCGCTATCCTGCCGTGGCACGAAAAGCTGCGGTACGCTGCGGCGCTGCTGCTGTTCCGACGTCGGCAGCAGAGGTTCTAAGAAACTCCAGGACGACGGCGACGGGAACACCGACGGCCCGAAACCGAACTTTTTAACCGCGGCGAGCCACTTCTGCCTGCCATCGTCGGGGGAAGCCGATGATCTGGAGGCTGGCGGAGGGGCTCGGGCTTGTTGAGCGGGAGGCGGAGGTGGCCCTGATGACGTTCCACCGGTTCGGCAACCAGTCGGCAGCGTCGCTGTGGTACCAGCTCGCGTACCACGAGGCGACGGGCGGGTCCGGCGCGGCGATCGGGCGTGGCAGCTCGGCATGGGGAGCGGGCCGAAGGCCAACAGCGTGGTGTGGGAGCGCGTCAGCGAAGACCCAGAGCCCGCAGCCGCGGACAATGGCCCCTGGGCCGACTGCATCGACCGATTCCCCGCCAGAGAATGAGAATCCTAGCAGCATTGCACATTTGCCATTGTTCAGCCTAAAGTTACTTCAGAATGTCTAAAATTGACGGATATTTCCGGCCGCGCGAGATTGACATTATTGATGCCATAACATAAACTACTGCATTTTAACCTCTGCACCGGTGCACAGGGGGCGGAGCCAGGATTTGAGTACAGGGGGCAATGGATAAAGCAAAGTAGAACCGATAGCCATGCCGGCTTGTTTTAGTCACGTATAATAGTAGTATGTTTGATGATAAGCAGCAAGATCATAGGCTATAATAATATCATCAGTACTATTTGATGCAACCAATTCCTTCTCAATATAAATTACCAAATACTATCGCGGAAATCACAATTCCTTCTCAATATAAATTACCAAATACTATCGCGGAAATCCATCTCGAATTGTACATCGAAGGAGAACTTTAGATGATGATTGTTGATCAGATAAGATGATAAGCAGGTCGTCATTACCTCATTTATGTACTGCAGCGGGCCAGCGGGTAGTGGGCAACGGCAGCGTCCGGCAACGGCAGGTCGGCAGGCGGCAGCGTCTCGCGTCCGGCGTCTGGCAGCGGCGTCGGCGGCGTGCCGGCGTCTCCAGGAGTGAGCGCAGGAACAAGGTGTGAGGCCGCTATGGGAAGCTGAAGCTGAAGGGGCAAACACAGAACAGAATACGAGCAGGCGAGCAGGTCCAGCGATCGAGGCTTCACATTCACGAGATTGTTTTTGGAGCCGCCGGAGGGTCTAAGGGCAGTCCAACGGTGTATCGACGATGGTTTCTATCCTCATTAAATAACTTGTCATGTAGGTAAAACGCTAACATGGTAACGTAATTAATGAAGAAAGAGAGTAAAAATCATAGAAATGGTTTCCTCATAAAGAAATCAGGTCTACTCTTAACCCAATGTACCAAGAAACTATGAAATCGCCATTAGAAAGAAACCACCAGTTTCTATTGAGCTCATGTCGCACTTCTATTGGAGGAAAAAGATAGAGTTAGGAGAGAGAAAGAGAAAATAATTATTACTCATAGAAATCATGGGTTGAAAAACAGTATTTTTTTGTGCGGTATCCTATGCTATAAAAACTACTAGTTTCTTTCATTGGGACTGCATTAAATGGGCTGCTCCTAACTGAGTAACTGGACCTCAAGAATAGTTGACGTTTGGGCTAAATTAGGAGGGACAAAACAGCATTGAAGACATAAACTAATTATACTATATATAGGGGATTAGCAGAGCATTGCCCCCGGCCACTGCCGGTGCATGAGTATAGATGTTGCTTCAATGCATCGATTTAATCCTTCTCACTCATAGGCATCGATGATATTGATCGACAATAAAGGAGAAAGGAGAAAGGAGAAACGATGAAACAATTCCTTGTGCGCCATTCAAAAAGACGGTCGGCATTGAAAAGTTTATTTCGCTTACAGTATAACACCATTTTAGCCCATCAAAACTAACGGAAGGCCAAGAAACCAAATAAAATTTGTTTTAGGCTAAATAAGCAAGCTCGAGAAAAAAGGGCCAAGAAACTAAGCAGCACTTTTTTTTAGGCAAAGAAAATAATTTCCTCTAATTTGATTCATTCACCATATTCACCGTTTGGCCAGACTTGAAGCGAACTAAGAGCTTGTTTGGATAGTAGCTACTAAAAATTAGCATTGTGTTTGATGCTAATTGGAAGGACTAAACATGAACTAATGTCGGTGTTTTGGAACCGGGGGTCCCTCAACCAACGAGTGAATTTGTGCTGCGTGCCCCTAATCCCGGATGGTGGCGCAAAGAGACACAAGGTTTATCTTGGTTCAGCAATCGAGGCCCTACGTCCAAATCCGAGAGATCGATCTTGTATTCCTTGCACCGAGTGCTGTAGTAGTAGGGGTTACAAGCTAGGTGAGAGAGGAACTAGCCCTGTGTCTCGGCGAGTGTGGTGCGGGCTGCTTGAGGCGTTGTTCCCAAGCAACATATGAGTATGTGGTGCTATCGGGCTTGTTCCTCTTTTTCTCCCCTAGAATGGCTTTGATCCCTCCCTTTTATACTCTAAGGGAGGACCGGGATCGTGCACAGGGTGCTACATAGCGCTTCTGTAAAATGGGGTGGCGTGTCCGAGCCCTGTAGTCAGCTACTGTTGTGGTATGGTCGATGGAGTGGCCCCGTCCTTGTCGTGCGGAAGTGACATGCTGGTCAGACTCGGTCTTGCGCGTCGTGGGGCTCCAGTCGATGGAGGACATGGCGGGCGACGTGCGGGTCGCCGTGTAATGACGTCAGGGGAGCGGCGGCTCTGCAGATGCCGAGGCCGAGCCATCGGGGGGCTCGGTGGTCATGGACCCTCAGGCTGCCGAGCCCGTGAAGCAAACTGTCGAGGCCTTGGGGGAGTTATTGGCCCTGGGTACTGATTCCGAGGCCACAGTAGCTCAGACGTGGCTCCCCATGCTGCGTTGTCCTTGGAGCAGGAGTTGGCAGCACAGTGAGGCATGGGCGTCAACCACGTGCACGGGGGTTAGTACAGCGGCGGGTAACCCCTGTGCAGTCCTGTCTCCTGTCCCATCGGCCATTCTCATCTTGATCTTGGCCGCATGCGGCATGTTGTCGAAGAAGCTTGATCGAGTTGACGACGATTACGACGCTTTGCCGTTTTAAGAAGGGCGGGAGAAGGAAGAGGTAGCGCGCGGTCGCCGAGCCCGCTTTTGCGCGAGACGGAGGGTCGGTGGCCTCGGCCGAGGCCTCTGGCGGGGAATCGACCGAGGCCCGCGGTGAGGGGGCCTCGGCGAATCGGAGAATCGGCTGAGGTCCGTGGTGATGAGGCCTCAAGTGAGTCGGAGAATCGGCCGAGGCTCACGGGATGATGAGGCCTCGGGCGAAGTCGGAGAATCGGCCGAGGCTCATGGCGGTGATGGGGCCTCGGGCGAGTCGGAGAATCGGCCGAGGCCAAGTGATATTTAGCTGGTTTCGGTCTTTACGAAATCTAAGCAGTCGTTTTTTGGATTTTGCTTGGGGTACCCCTTCTCACGGTATCCGACAGTAGCCCCCGAGGCCCTGGAGGAGTGATTTCACTTCTTCAGGGGCTTTTTTCTCTTTTGAGTGAGGTGTTTTGATCGTGATTGCCGGGTCCAGAGGTGTGCGAGTTCGGATCATGGGGCCTTGACGATGTTGTGGAAAGACCGGCTGGGTCTCAGCAAAGTTGCAGGAGGAGCCCCGAGTCTCTCGCGGAGCGAGAGAGAGCGGTCGAGGTCCCCGGCTTTTGGTTCGCCCCTCAGCGTGAGGGTTTGATCGCCGAGCCCCCTCGGTGTGCGAGCCTAGGTCATGGGTCTCGGCGTTTTTTGCAGAAGGAGCTCCCTAGCCTCTGCACGGAGCAAGAGGGCCGTCAGGAGTTCTTCCGGCTTTTTGAACGACCCTCGCGCTTTCTTTTCGCTCGGAAGGAGGGTTGGTTTTTGCCGAGACCCCTCGTGTGCGAACTCAAGTCGCTGGGCCTCGCAACGCTTTTGCGTGAAGAGTCCCTTAGCCTCTCGTGACGGAGCAAGAGGGCCGTCAGGATTCTCCCGACTTTTTATTCGACCTCGCGCTTCCTTTTCGCCGGAAGGAGGGGTGGAATGTGCCACGCTACCCTCGGTGGGCGCGAGCGATGGCACTTCCGGTGAGCTGTTATCGGGTAAGTCCGAGTGGAGGCCCGTACCCCGTTCGCTGGGGGTCGGCTAGCGGTCCGGAGACGCGCTCCAAGAGTACCGGAGGGTTTCTCTAGTGGGTGCCGAGGCCGTTCGCTGGGCCTCGGTGGCTCGGTGCCTCCCTACGGTGGGATCCCATTCGGAGACCTCCCTGCCGGTCTCGGACACAACACAGGGCGTCCCAAGCGTTTCGCTTGCTTGGGCCTCGGCCTGTGTAGGCTCGCCCGTAGTTGCCCCGGCTCTGTTTCTGGGCGGTGCCCGAAACCCCTAAGGGCCCAACCTTGAACCCCGGACCGTGAAACGGATCGGGTCGCTTGTTTTTACCTTGGGTGCAGGAAGAGCCCCCGAGCCTCCGCACGGAGCGAGAGGGCGGTCAGGGGTCCTCCCGACTTTTTTGCCCGTCCCCCGCCCGTCCTTTTCGCTCGGACGGGGGGGCTGTTTGCCGAGCCCACTCGTGTGCGAGCCTGAGCCGCTGGGTCTCGGCAAAGTTGCAGGAGGAGCCCCCGAGTCTCTCGCACGGAGCGAGAGAGCGGTCGAGGTCCCCGCTTTGGTTCGCGCCCCGCGCGAGGGGTCTGGATCGCCGAGCCCCCCTCGGGTGCGAGCCTAGGTCATGGGTCTCGGCGTCTTTTGCGGAAGGAGCTCCTAGCCTCAGACGGAGCAAGAGGGCCGCCGGGAGTTCTTCCGGCTTTTTGAACGACCCTCGCGCTTTCTTTTTTCGCTCGGAAGGAGGGTTGGTTTTTGCCGAGACCCTCGTGTGCGAACTCAAGTCATTTGGGCCTCGCAACGTTTTGCGGAGAAGAGTCCCTTAGCCTCTGACGGAGCAAGAGGGCCGCCGGGATTCTCCCGACTTTTTATTCGACCCTCGCGCTTCCTTTTCGCCGGAAGGAGGGGTGGAATGTGCCACGCTACCCTCGGTGGGCGCGAGCGATGGCACTTCCGGTGAGTGTTATCGGGTAAGTCCGAGTGGAGGCCCGCACCCCATTCATGGGGGTCGGCTAGCGGTCCGGAGACGCGCCCAAGAGTACCGGAGGGTTTCTCTAGTGGGTGCCGAGGGCCGTCCATTTGGGCCTCGGTGGCTCGGTGCCTCCCTACGGTGGGATCCCATTCGAGACCTCCCTCGCCGGTCTCGGACACAACACAGGCGTCCCAAGCGTTTCGCTTGCTTGGGCCTCGCTACTGTGTAGGCTCGCCCAGAGTTGCCCCTCGCTCTCTGTTCTGGGCGGCCGCCGAAACCCCTAAGGGCCCAGCCTTGAAACCCCGGACCGTGACGGGCTCGGTGCCCGTTCCTTTGCTCGAAGGAATCGGGGGTTATTTCTCCCTACGGTTAATTAATGGCAAAGCGCGTCTTTTGAGGCGGCTTTTTCGGGAGGCGAACGGCTCCTGCTGCTGTGC